GCACTGATCTGATGCTTCTTGACATGAGAGCAGAGTGAAGAAAATACATGAACCTCACGGGAGTCACTCCTCAGTTTATACCGTGTTTTGTTTCAATTAATGTTTCATTTAGTTACACATATGTGATATATCTGAACAACAACGTGGTCAAAAATCATTTAATTCATTTTTTGGAAACATTTTCATGATCGCTTTTTTCGTTTTACATTTTCATTTATTGTCATTTCCATTCAGTCATTAAGTGCTATTTAAAATGTTAATTTGCTACATATCCAAACAAACAAACAAAGTGTGCAATCCAATGAATGTTAATCTAACTGGGTTTTGATAGATAACATATCTCTTTTTCTTCTCTCAATTATTTTATTTCTTTTGTGCACTCTAATCAATATTAATCAAACTATTGTTCGTTTATACATTTTAAGAATGGCGTTTATCTTTTTTAAGAATTAGTTCTTATTTTATTTTATTTATTGGGGTCTACAACAGATGATACAAATGTTTGTGTCAGTAAATGTGTACTAACAGAGGCGGGGGGGTGTGGAAATAACGGGGACAGAGCTGCTGTCAGACGATCAGCTGTGCAGCGTCATCACAAACGGACGTCGCTTCACGTGACGCTCCTCATTTCCCTGCTTCCCGTGGTTTCCTTGCGTCCCTCCATGCTTCCCTGGTGGGAGGGACTAGAGGCAGGGAAACGACGCAAGTGAGGGAAGCAAGGATTTCATTTAATCGACCTGAGAAGCAGCCAGGGAAATTAGTTTTAAGAGCAATGGGACGTCCTTTCCTCCGGAGCGTCACGTGAAGCGACGTCCGTTTGTGATGACGCTGCACAGCTGATCGTCTGACAGCAGATCTGTCCCCGTTATTTCCACACACACCCCCGCCTCTGTTAGTACACATTTACTGACACAAACATTTGTATCATCTGTTGTAGACCCCAATAAATAAAATAAAATAAGAACTCATTCTCAAAAAAGATAAATTCTTAAAATGTATAAATGAAAAAAGCGATCATGAAAATGTTTCCAATAAATGAAGAAAATGATTTTTGACCACTTTGTTGTTCAGATATATCACATATTTGTAACTAAATGAAACATTAATTGAAACAAAACACAGAATAAACTGAGGAGTGACTCTCGTGAGGTTCATGTGTTTTCTTCACTCTGCTGGGAAACTGCTCTAATGTCAAGAAGCATCAGATCAGTGCATGCACTGCATCGTCCAATCAGTGAGCGATACACAGTAAGGGGGCGGGGCGAGTGTCTGAGGATTTCACCGAAGGATGGTCTGGTGGTTCCTCGGTTATAGCTCCTCCGTTATCGCTCCTCGCTCCTCCGGCAAAAATAAGGCCATTGGGACGCTACTCAAGATGGCGCAGACAAATCAACTTCCGGTGAGACCGAGACCGAGGAGCGAGGAAATGAAAAATAAGAGAAGTGAGAAGGGCCCATTGTCTCCAACCTCAAAGGCACTACTATATGACCTCTACTGCCATGTCCTGTGAATATTAGTCAGCAGAGGAAACACTGACACCTGGTGGCAGTCTTGCAGTCTTACTGGTTTTCACACAAGCTGTCACAAACACAACATATTAGAGACTCAGAAGTTTGTTAACGACAAGACTAGACATTCTATAACATGTATGCCATGTAAAGCCATAATCAGACAATTGAAATGTAATAAGAAAACCATCATTACATTACGAATCTTATACCTGTAGTTGTTCACATACACAAGGAGTCTCGCAAACCTCAATATGTTTCTAGTTAAATCCATTTAAAATGTAAAAATAATTACATTTCATACTTTGATTGATTGGTGAATGAGATTGATCTGGGGCGGTTGCTGCTCAGTGGGTAGTGCGCTCATCTTCAGATCAGGGGGCACCGGTTCAATCCCGCCTTGACAGCCTCGCAGTGAGCATGCCGCTGTGTCCTTGGGCAAGACATGTCCACAGTATTGAATGGAATGAAACCGGATGATGAGTGAAATTATTGTAAGGATAAAAGTGTCCCGTAACATAATGTAAAGCGTCTTTGAGCACCTGGAAAAGCGCTATAAAAATACCATGTATTATTTATTATTAGAAATAAGTGTTTGATCCCTTGCTGATTTTGTAAGTTTGCCCACTTACAAATACATTAACAGTCTATAACTGTAATGGTAGGTTTATATAAACAGTGAGAGTAAGAATATCAAAAATAAAATCCAGAAATTGACATTATATAAAAGATAAAAATGTATTTGCATTAAAATGTTACCACCGTCAAGCATGGAGGTGGAAACATTATGCTTTGGGGGTGTTTCTCTGCTAAGGGGACAGGACGACTTCCCTGCGTCGAGGAGAGGATGTACGGGGCCATGTGCCGTGAAAATATTGGCCTATAACCCCCCTCTTCCAGCCGGAATAACGATCAGAATTTTAACAATTTAAGCTCTCCCCCCCCCCCCCCTCTTTTTATCTTTAATTGTTTAATCTGTGTGAATCTGTTCTGTCCTGTTTTTCATTCTTACCCTGTTGCTGTTAAACTACTGAATTTCCCCACAGGGATTAATAACAGTCCATCTTACCTTATCTTATCTTACTTTAAGGACTTACCTGATGTTTTGAGAATGTCATATTAGGAAAAACCATACAAGGAAATACACATGCACTCTTGTGAGGCTAATAGGTCACTTTATTCAGTAAAATACAAAACAATCAAATGTACTGAAGAAAAAGCAATACTCTTTAAAACAGTAATAAAAAAGCCAAAATCAATTTGATAAAACCTTCATTTGGCCCACACTGTAAGTATTTAGAATACAGTAAATCTCCAACATGTCTGCCCCTTTTTTCACGGTCTCACATGTTTTGCTGTACTCTCACTTTGATGCTATTAAGCCAAAAACAGCAAAAACCTGGTCAACATAAATCTTCTTTTAACTCTGCTCGCTTTGACCTTGCAATATGGTTATAACAATTGTGCCATAGTTTAAAATACAACATTAGACTGTATTATTTTGTTGGTTTGTTGACGGTGGCGTAGAGGAGGCTGGGATCAGCGGAGGGACGTCGCTTTGCCTCCGTTGCTCGCTTCGAAAGTTGAGAAAAGTTCAACTTGTCAAGCGTCAACGGAAGCGCCAGCCAATCAAATCATATGCCAGTACAAGCGCTAGCCAATCAAACCGCGTGCTTGTGTGTCCGATCCGGGGGATTAATGTGATTGGTTGTTGGTCGCATGCCAGACACGCCCACTGGTAAGCTTCAATCTAACGGAACCGTGTGGACGATACGTCACAGTGCTATAGGTCATTGCATCATCTTCATCATCATCAGCCTGCAGGCAAAGGAAAAGGGATTATACAGAAAGTTCAGGTGTATATCAGTATGTAGTGTCTCTCTACTTTAAAGAGTCCTCTCCTGCTGATGTTCAGGTGTATATCAGTATGTAGTGTCTCTCTACTTTAAAGAGTCCTCTCCTGCTGATGTTCAGGTGTATATCAGTATGTAGTGTCTCTACTTTAAAGAGTCCTCTTCTGCTGATGTTCAGGTGTATATCAGTATGTAGTGTCTCTACTTTAAAGAGTCCTCTCCTGCTGATGTTCAGGTGTATATCAGTATGTAGTGTCTCTACTTTAAAGAGTCCTCTCCTGCTGATGTTCAGGTGTATATCAGTATGTAGTGTTTCTACTTTAAAGAGTCCTCTCCTTCTGATGTTCAGGTGTATATCAGTATGTAGTGTCTCTACTTTAAAGAGTCCTCTCCTGCTGATGTTCGGGTGTATCTCAGTATGTAGTGTCTCTACTTTAAAGAGTCCTCTCCTGCTGATGTTCAGGTGTATATCAGTATGTAGTGTCTCTACTTTAAAGAGTCCTCTCCTTCTGATGTTCAGGTGTATATCAGTATGTAGTGTCTCTACTTTAAAGAGTCCTCTCCTGCTGATGTTCAGGTGTATATTACCTCATTCACACCAACGGTGTTTCAGGGCTGGTTTGGAGTTGGAGCTTGAAAAGCACCGGGTTTTCCTGTTCACACCGCAGCGGAGCAGCCTCTTAGCTCCGGAATCCGGTTCGTTTCAAGCACCAATATTTTTTCCGGCTAGAGCAAAAGCACCGCATACGTCACGCTTACGTCGAGGCGGGGGCAGGGGCAGGATCAACTCCTGAACAACAACAAAAAGCCGGCGTTTTATCCAGTTTGTACACAACGATGAAGAAACTTAACAAGCAGCAGTGGTCCACTGAAGAGACCAGCTGCCTGCTGGGAATCTGGTCTTCCGAAGAGGTACAGAGGAAGCTTGAGCACAATCGGCCATTGTTGTTGTTGTCGGTGTCAGCTGTGAGGGGTTTCCGCGCGGTTTGGCTTTATGAAGCAGGCACGCAAACGGTTACGTCATGACGCAAACGATGACACAGCACCAGTCGGACTCTGAGCCGTGTGAAAAGAGCCGGAGCTAAACCGAAGAACCGGTTCTGAACCTGAAAAGCTCTAGCACGGAGCTTGAACCGGAGTTGCGTTGGTGTGAATAAGGTATCTCAGTATGTAGTGTCTCTACTTTAAAGAGTTCTCTCCTGCTGATGTTCGGGTGTATCTCAGTATGTAGTGTCTCTACTTTAAAGAGTCCTCTCCTGCTGATGTTCAGGTGTATATCAGTATGTAGTGTCTCTACTTTAAAGAGTCCTCTCCTGCTGATATGTTAAAAATGTTAAAGTGATGCCAGAAAACAATATTTCTGTTCGACAAAAATGTTATAATTACTGCCAAAATATGAATATTGTGTCAAATAGAGCGTCAGACGGCAGATACAGCTTTGTTTTTAGGAAGCGTTGTTTACGTGCGCAGCGCTATCTTGTATTCGCGCGTCATGTTCTCATGAGAATTGATAAAACGTATATACAAGATCAGCACCACAGTATTCATCGTACTATAACTTTCTAGAAAAACCCCTGCTTACAATTCTAAATAAAGCGTGCCATTTAATTTAGAACAGTAAGTACATCATTGAATGGTGTTATTTTCTCTGTTTGTTGATGGTGGCGTAGAGGAGGCTGGGAACAGCGGAGGCAGCAGAGGAAGAGGAGGGAGCTCTCACAGTGCTGTAGGTCACTGCATCATCTTCATCATCATCATGAAGGTGAGCCTGGAGAGAAAGAGTAAATCTCATGAAATGCAAATAAAAGAGTTCTGAAAGTCCGGATTCTGCTGTCATGTAACAACTGAGTCATTCCCTCTGCTTCAGCTTTTTGAAGTGCATTAAACCTGCATTCCCTCTCATGGCCAGCAGGGGGCAACACATTGGTTCCAAAAAGTAGTCAGATTGTATAGAAGTCTATGAGGAAATTACCCTACTTCCCACTTGATTTATTACCTTAGTAAACATTCTCCCCGTGTGTTTATGGTGACTATCTCTCAATTCTTCTCTGTTAAACCCCGAGCCTGTTTTTCAGGTTTCAGGCTTGAAAATGACATTCCCAGAACAAATGACCTTATCTTCCCTTCTAAAAGGGTTACATTAATAATCTTTTTTCTCAAAGTAATGATAAACCTGTGAGTTGGATGTAGAAAAGTCAGATTCAATATAGATGTTTTTTATTTTAAAGAAAATTCAGATTGAACATGGTAAAAACTGTAAATTATAGTGTCCGTCCAAAATATATGTTGTACTTATAGTGAAAACTAACCTTGGATGATGGGTTAGTAGACTAAAGGCTTTAGGAATCCAAAGTACAACATATAATAAGTACCCTGTATCAAGATTGATGCAAAACAAGTGATATTTGACCTTTTTAGACAGATTTAGCTAAAAAAAAACCTCTTCTGGCCATTTGGGTGGATTTTCCATATCTCTGGCCCCCCTTGCTGGATTTTAACATGTGACATCTCTTTCTGCAGAGCCAATGGAATCGAGGGGAACTCCCACATAGTCCTTATTTGGTAATGTGTGTGTGTGAGACTGCCGCCTAGCCAAGACCGGCGCTGGCCTAGACCGGAAGCAGCAGACACTCTGGTAGCTACCATTAGCAGCTAACTTTTGCTCTCCGATTTTTACATACAAATGGAATTATGGATTATAAATTAAATCTATTTTTTATACAGAGACGTTAAAAACCTATGGATTAACCGATTCAGCCGCGTTTTTTCTCGTTTTAATGCCATTGAACACGTCTTTTGATCAGATTGACAGCTATGGTGAGACGATCTCCCTAGAAGCTCCGTAAAGGTACGTGTTGTGATGTCTGTATTTGCTTCTCCTGTCGCGAGTCCGGATGACTCAGTGATGATATTATATACCTAAATAATCTGTGGAACCTCAGCTTTAATCGGATATCTTGTATGTGCAGCTACAATAAGTAATAAGGGTACTTTTATCTTGAGTTCTGTGCCAATGTCCGTTAGCATTTTTCGCTCAGGGGTCATTTAGATGCTTCTTATGAGACTTGTGTTTTTGTTTTGGTAAAAATGGTTTGTATCGTCAATTAGCTGAGATTATTTCCGTTAATCTGGTATAACACATTAATAGGTTCTTAAATATTAAGATCCCCCGAGACACAGTGTCGTAAAAAAAACAAAACAGGGTCCCTGTCGACGGGGACCCTGGGGTTTAACAGGTTAATAAATGTATACTATGGTCCCATTTACAGAACAATAGATGATAAAGGAGGGTATTCTTCTAAATCATATCAATAGTTTCTTCCTTTATTAACATCACCAGTGTAATCAATGAGACAGCTCACCCTGGCTTTCCTGTTGGTCTTCCTGGTGTAGCTGATGGAGGCGTAGGAAACACCATCTTCAGGATCAGCCTACACAAATAAAATGTATTGATTAGTTATGTATGTATGTATGTATGTATGTATGTATGTATGTATGTATGTATGTATGTATGTATGTATGTATGTATGTATGTATGTATGTATGTATGTATGTATGTATGTATGTATGTATGTATGTATGTATGTATGTATGTATGTATGTATGTATGTATGTATGTATGTATGCATGTATGTATGTGTGTATGTATGTAATAATCAATCTTTTGACCTCTTGCTTTCTGTATAACAAAGTCAGACATTCTTGTTGTTTTTTCGATTTGAAAACTCACCATGTCATCATCGGTCTCTGTTCTGGTCCCTTAAAGGAAAAAAAAGAGAAAATTGTCTTAATCTTCCACAGTTAAAATCCAGGTTTATCAAAAGCTTGTTGTTCATAAAGTATAATGTGTGAATGTCCTCACCTTGAGTCCTCTTCCGTCTGATGACAGCCACAGTGATTATTGTGAGTGCTGCAACAGCCACGATCACAACGATGATCCACCACCACCAACCTGGAAGAGAGCAGTTAGAAGAGTTACATATACTCAGAGGCTTTTATCTCTTCCTCTTTAAACTCTGAATCAACAACATGTATTTTCTGACAATAAATGTGTCACTACCTGGATTTTTGTCCTCTTGTTCTGTTTGATTGTTTTCAGATGCAGTGTTGGTCGTCTCTAATGCTGGTCTCACTTTCAATGTTGATTTAGTTGTTGTTGGTAATACTGTAGTCACCTTCCTTGTAACATCACCTTAATAAAAAAATAACACAGTGCTGTACAGTTATGAAGCGAATGATAAGCGTTATCATGACAGAATGATGCTAAAAATATTAAAAACTTAGCTTCACAAACGTATTTTATGTAATTATTCATTTCAGGATGAATGATTTTAAACAGCTCATCATATTCTCACCTGAGGACTGAAGAGAAACAGCTGTGGTTCTGTCCTGTAACCATCACACACTTTACAAGTACATAAATTAAACCTTACCTGAGTTTAAGTTGGGTTTAGCTGTTGTTGTTGTTTTTGTTGGTGTTGTTGCTGGTTTTGTGTCCTCATCTAAACAAATAAACACAACTCAAACTATTTAGTCTGCAACTTCTGTAAAACAAACACATATTTAAGGTGATTATCCGTGTCAGATTGAAGTAACTTAAAAAGCTGATCATGTTCTCACCTGAGGACTGAGGTCTGAAGAGAAACACCTGTACTTCTCCTGTGAACTTATCTGTTACTTCACAAGTAAACAACTCAAACCGTGATGTGTTACTAAAAGGAGAAGTCAGAAATGTCACAGAGGCAGAGCAGGAAGACTGTGATGTCTCTATATCTCTGTGACCTTTAATCACATCTTGACCCTGAAGCAGCCACTTCACTGTGTGTTCACCCTGTCCACGTCTCGTCACAGAGCAGTTTAACGTCACCTCATCATTGTCGTGATGTTCAGTCACTGAAGATGGAGATATTGTGAGAGAAACACAACAAGAGTAACATTAACTTCATCACTGGAATCATAATTATTGAAAAGTTGTATTATATTGCTCTGTATAGAGTGTGAAAACATTATGATGTAAATACTCACCGGTAACAACAGACAGGTAAACCTGAGAGTCTGAACCTTGTTTTCTAACAGATTCTTTGAACTGTTGACAATAAAAACGTCCAACATCCTCCTCTGTGACCTTCTTTATACCTAGAGAACATTTCTCTGTAACTCTAAGTCTGTCTGATTTAACTTTGGCTTCTTTACCAATCTGCCCACGATGAACCAGCTCTACTGCTGCTGAACTACTTGAATCAAAGTACCAGTTAATACTCTCACAGTTATCCTGATCATGTATCACATTGTCACAAGGCAAAGTTACTTCATCTCCAACTCTGACAGCCAATAAGGAAGATTTCCACTTTGCTGCTGTTGAAAAACACAGACAGAGTTCACTAAAGGCACCACGTTACACACACAACTCATCATTCTCAGTTAAAGGAACATCACGTAGTAAAGCACCGTTAGTGATATTAGAGATGTTTTATTCAAAGTGTGTTCTCTGCGTCCTCACCTGTAAAGTGGAGCAGCAGCATCAGGAATGAAGACATTAGGATCCTTCTGAATTCAGACATCGTGCTTCTCTCTCGGTCTCTGGCTCTCGACTGTCAGAGTCTCTGTCCTGCCGCTTCTTTATTTCTCTTCTGAGAACTGATAGTGTTTCTGTGAGGATGTGGTTAATAACTGCAGCAGAGCTCTGGAGGTTTTACCCTCTGATGCTGACCAGATAAGGTACGTGCTTACAGCAAAACCGCACAGAGAATGTACATATAGCATTATATATAGAGTAGTTGCAACAGACTTGCTAATGGTGTTTGAATGCACACACAGTGGTCTGAGACCTGGTGGTTTTTCTCATTCATTGTACCTCTGAGAACCAAGAGGTGTTGTTGTGGCTGTGGCAGCAGCAGCAGAGCTCTGCAGGTCTAAACCACTGATGTTGACCAGATACAAAACAGAGACATGAGTAATGGAAACAGTAACTATTGACTAAATGAACTCTAATGAAGTATAATTAATGACTTTTTAAAACATGTACCCGCATGTTGTTCTGAAATTCTTAATAAAACTAACACATTTTATCTGAGTTATTGTCATGCTCTGCACACGGAACTTATGAATCTTTGGTCCCTTTAAAAAGACACAAACGTCTCTAGAGAGGCATACCGGTTAAAGTCTTTTAATAAACACGCTGCAGATACACAACTTTCTGAAGATGCTAAATGAATCTGTGCCCTGACGGCTGAAACTGAAGCGGTGCCGATGTGTCAGAGCCTGTAGATGTTCTTGTGTCTCTGCTGATGAATTGTCATGGTTGTAAATGTGCACTGGTCGACAAGTTTTTCAAAATAGTAGTCGACTAGTCGACTAGTTGTTACGTCATAATAAAGACACACAAAGAGAGGTGTAAAACTGTATTTTGTATTACAATTCACACAGTTACGTTAAACACTGTAACAAAGCAGCATTTAAATGTGTGTTACATGAATGATTAAATTAAAAACAGTAACTGGACTCACCAAATCTACTGCAAAAACTCTGTTAAGAACATAAATGCAAAGTAAATTCAGTGGGCATTGCGCAACACTTTACTCGCTGTCACTGTCCTCGATAACAATGTCCACCATGGGCGTCGCCTGGGGTAGGCATCCGGGGCTTTAGCCCCGGATGTTTTTTCTTTAGCCCCGGACAAATTCTCCCTCAATAATATAATACATTAACCTACTTTACCTATAGGACGGACGGCAGGAATGTAATTTCCCATGTTCGGTGAATGCAACACAGAGGCAAGACGACGCCACCAGACCAATCAGAGAGTTGCATGGAAATAAACGTGTTTTATTGGCTGACAGGTACGTACCTCTCCTCTGTGACAATGTTTAAACTTTAAACTGTCAGCCCCGGACGCGGAGATTCTGAAGATGGACATTAGACATTTCTTTAATAAAAAAGACGGCCATTCTCAAGTGGTGGCTCACACAACAACCCCAGAGCCACCACCTGAGCCAGATGAACAAGGTATGTACCTGTCAGTAAACTTACAAGTTATGCGAACATGTAAGCAAAGCATACATTATAGCTACGTTGACGTTACTTTGAATCGCGCGGGTAAGCTAAACCGTTAGCAAGTAGCTATAGCTAGCCAGATATATTAAATAAACACTTTGTCATACAATCTAAATGTTGTGTTTTTTAGTGTTACTTGGTGATTTCAAAGAAAGCTCTCTGGGAAATGTTGACTTGTGTTCGACATGAAGCTAGAAGCTACCTTACAGTAAGTAGTACACAGTTGATCCTGATTCCTGTCAGTTAAAGTGTTTCATAGTTAGCTTAGCTAAGCATCAACCTAGCACTGACATATATATGGATGTTATGTAACAGTATTTCTGAGAAAAAGTCAGCTGAAATGGTGGCATAGTTGCCACTGCTTTACATGTCGACAGCATGTTTGAACGTATTTGCAGCAGTAAATGTGGCTGTTTGGCCACTGACGTTGCCATAACAACACCTGCATTTAAATGTGCAACCTCTTTTTGTGACAGATTTTGCATGAAAATATAATTCTTCTGATTGATATTTCCTATTGACAGCTAGTTTCTATGTGAACATTATGAGATGGACAGCCAGCTAACAAGCTTTTTATACAAATATTTCAGATCAAAGCCAATCCAGTGAAAGGGAGCAAGGGACATATGCTCCCAAATATTAAGCCTTGACCCGCATCTTAAAATTGATATGATCAAAAAATGATCTGCATTGTCGGAGGCCTTTTTTCCTCATTATCATGTCAAATTGTACAGCTTTCCTTAGTGTTGAATGCAGAAAGATGAACTATTTTCAATTGGTTAGTATTACATTTTGTGACAGTGTGGTGACACTCATTTTAATGAAGACAAATGTGTGTATCTTGAAATTCATTTATTTGACAGAGCTGGAAACTGATTGACTTATATACTTGTTTGTGTTTACCTACACAGTCATCACAGATGAGCCAAACAGAGTAGAGGATGAAGAAAGGAGAACAGGAGAAAGGGACACACAAGAAGGAGATACAACAGACAAGAAAGACAATGGAGACAACAATGAACAGGAACACCAGAACAGACAAGAGTCAATGGGTAACATGACTGATTTAGGGACTGCAGATACAAGTCAAGGCAAGTGAGACATCACTGCTTTCCATTTGGCCAGCAAAAGAGATCATTTCAACCGCAAACAGCAAGAGATGAGGGATTATTATTTCCTCCTTCCATCACTTTTTTCTGTTTAATCTGATTACTAACAACTTCTAATAATTTGACATAGTTTATGATTTAATTGGAAAATGAAGTGTTTTTAAATAATAGACCTGATTCTGATTCTTTGATTTCTTTTTGACATATGGGTGTTGAGAGATGTATCCATATATCTTAATGTTGCTCTCAAAGTGCACAAGATTGATGCTTTTAACTTCAGTATTTAAAAAAAGTCTTCCTGGGGGAGCATGGCCCGGCCCCCCCAGAGGAGGTGAGTTGCCCCCAAAATAGCACTTTATCTCTGCTTATGTAACTCCGGTGTAGTGTCCCCTCGGCAACAGATCACTCAGAGCTGGTGATTACTTTCCTGCATTTCAATGGACAGCATATAAAAAGGACACGTGAGCTGCATTGCTTAAGAGATCCTCTCATGCTATCTCTTTTACAAAATAAGTGTCCAGTCAACAACAAAACATCAGTGATCGTATAGTGGTAGTATATTTTTCACAAGCAATGTGAAACATTAACTTATACAAACTGGTGTACAAAACTCACATACCTGCGTTGGTCTCCTGGAGTGTCTCTACTCTTTCTTCTCCACATCTCTTGTCCACCATCAGAGATTGCAAACATTTCAGAAACAGCTAGAGGTAGGGGACAAACAACTTGTTCGCTGGGCATGTCAAAAACCTCCCTGCTTTGATCAAGACTTTAGGGAGCCTTTCAGCCCCTCTAGCAAAGGGACTGGAAAGCAAGCTTTGAAAATGCAGTACCATCTACATGCTGTCATGTTCCAGACACTGCTCTCAACCACTCAGGGCCTGCACAAATACCTGCAGAAAGAAACACTTGACTTGGTGCAGGCAGTAGATTACAAAACAGCAGTTGAGAACACACTGAAAAGTTACCGAAGTAACGAGAAAGCACATGAGGTCTATGACAAGACCAAGGCCCTGTGCAATGATCTTGATATTCCCGAAACTGAGACACAGAGGAAGAAGCGTAGAAACATGGAAGACTTTGTAGTCAAGGCATCATGTGGAGCAATGTGAAACATTAAACATAAATACACTGGTGTACAAAACTCACATACCTGCATTTCAATGGACAGCATAAAAGGACTCGTGAGCTGGGTTCTGGTGCTCAGATTAGCTATTGATGATCACGTTGATAAATCATATAAAACAAATAGCCAATCACACTAAAAACATGTTGCTGTGACTGTGAGCATTAAACAATTAACATTAAACTAAACAAACACAACAGAACGTTATTGTCCTTATAAAATAAAAACATACATTTTGTCCACCGAGATAATACAGGCACCTTACCCTCAAGAGATCCTCACGTGCTATGAGAATCTCCCACAATCCATTGCCGTAACAAAGCTAATGCAGGCGCACGTTTGTGACACCAGATGGCGCAATTGTGTATGTGCGTGTGGGGAGTCTTGCAGTAGAACATTTGACTGTAGCGCCGCCACTGTGGGCTAAGCCCCGAATGTTTCCAGGTCCAGGCGACGCCCCTGATGTCCACCCTTCATGGTTTTTTGGTTCACGTTAAGGAAGACCAAAGCATCAAGATGCGGCTTGACCGCTGTCGGGTGACAGTGTTGCCTGCCAGGGAAAACATCCGTTCACTTGGGTTGCTGGTGTAGCCAGGTAGCTCCTGGAAAGCTTGGCTAAACGGGGGAAGCGGTTCGCGTTGTGTGCCCACCACTTCAGAGGGTTATCCATTGTGGGGATATGGGGTGTCTTCTGGCAGTAATCCTGTAGCTCATCCGCGCCACTGTTGACCCGTTTTTTCTTGTTGCTCTCGAAATGAGGTCCAAAAAGCTGTTCAAAGGGGGGATGCTAGTGGAGGACGCTCGTGAACTTTTAGCACCGGAGCTAAAACTGAAACTGTCGAGCGCATAATTGCGCATAAAATGAGGACCCCTGAATGTTGGACGTGTAATGCTGGAGCATTTTGCATCACCTCAGCGGCAATGTCGGCATCCTCATCTCCCACGTTTGCCTCTATTTTGTTCACGACTAGTTGACAAGGGCCTATAGCCAGGGCCGTATCCAGGATTTCCTAAATACCGAGGTCCAAACATGTTAGGGGGGGTCCCCCCCCCCCCGAGATTTTTGGGATTTTCATGATCTAGTTAGGTGATTTTTCAGTCCTGTGGGGGGTCACAAATTGGATAATATATTGATTTCAAATCATGTCAGCATAAATTATTTTTGAAAGTGTAATACATAAGAATCAGTTGATTGTTACGATCTGGACATGCAGAAGAGGTTAAAATGATCACAACACATTGTCAACATTCACTTTCCATGTCTCTCTCCTTT